TCTTTTTTCTTTTTTATTTTTGTAAATATTTTCCTAACATACACTATAAACATATATACTACTAAAGGTGTAGTTAATGTTAATTTTTATAATTTAATTATTAATTAATATTAACAATATATATTATTATACTAAGAAACCTTTTTTGAAATAAAAAAATTATGTTTCATGTTTTCAAAGTAAGGGAAATAAAATGAATTTATATGATTCGAATTAAAAATTTGAGGGAGATCAACCCATAAAATAAAGAATTTTTATTATTCTATTTGAAATTAACACTAAGAATCTTAAAAAAACGTGTCTTAAGTAGTAAGTAAAATTCCAAAATGAAGATACTTGATTTGAATTTTAAAATTGATGGGAATGATTTATAAAATGAATGGTCTTTTTATTTTATTTATTTAATTGACAAGATGATATTATAGAACCAATCTTTAGTTACATAAATAAAAAAGGATGGTGGAAAAGGAAAATATATATAATAAAAATGGATTAATTTGTCATATAGATATTTTTAGTTTATTTTCAAAAACAGGAAATTATAGCATTATTTTTGTGCAAATCCGTCTCTAAGAGGCATAGGGGCAGACCATATGTCATAACTCAAATTTTAGTTGAATATTATATTATTTTTATTTTATTTTAACTACTATGTTTTGTTTTCGTTTTCCTTGTTAGGTTCTGGAGTGAAAAGGAAATTTTACGAAGAAGATTGGGAAGGAAGATGAGAGAAAAAGGACTCAATTGAAGAAATGGAAAGTTGGAGGGGTGAAATGCAAAGTCTAGCCCAAAACCCATCAAACCCAATCCAAAACCTACCAAACTCAAACCCAAGCCCAAATACCAAACCCATTTAACCCAAAAAAAAAAAAATAAATAAAAGATTAAATTTTTTTTTTCTCCAGAACCTCCTCCTTCCATTTTTCTTTTACTTTTCTCTCTCCCGACCCGGCCTTCTCCCTGCCCTGCACCGAACCTGCGCACCAGCTCCCGCACCAGATCCCCTCACCCCAGCGCCCTGCGCACCAGCACCCCTGCCCAGCGCACCAGCCCTGCACCTACGCCCGAGCCTTGCACCTACGCCTCTGCTCCCTGCTCTGCGCCCAGATCCTGCAATCACGCCCCTGCTGCTGCACCGAACCAGCCCTTGCCGTCTGCTGCGCCGAACCCACGTTGCTTGCACGCCTGCACTCTGCGCCAGCAATCATGCCCTCTGCTCGCTACAGTACCTGTCAGAAAATCTTCATCATTATTGATTGACAGAGCAAGGCCTTTTTTCATTATTTATTATTTATTTTATCTTTTATTTTGGGTATATATATATAGTAAAAATCAGATTGAGAAGGGGTCGGTATTGATTTTGGGGGGGGGTTGTTGGTTGATTTTGGGTCTGTTTTGTTGCGGAGTTTCGGCTGAGCTTCGAGAGCAATAGAAGGGGTTTTTCTTTGGTTTGAGCTTGGTGCTGACGG